AATGAACGCCTCGTTCTCCACATCCATTGCTGCCTTCCACTCCTTATAAGGCCCCGAGAGAGCTTCCTCTTTTGTGCGAGGAGTCGGAATGGTTGGGTTCTCGGTGAAGTTGAGGGAAGGGCAGTCACTAATGCCTGGGAAGATGTGAGAGAGAAATTGGCAGACCGCGTGAAGGTCAAACAGCTCCTCATGCCTGTCCTCCAGAAGTGCACGGGGCGGAATTCGGATGGAGGGACATCACCCCCGGCAGGAGGAGGCGGGGTGACTGAACACTGGATGGAGAAGGCGGCTGGTCCCCAGGCGAGAGGTGGAGCCGGTCCCTTGGAACGAGTGCGACTAGAACTAGAGACGAAGGCGGCTGCGGTGGGACAGGAGAGACTGGGCGCCTCCGATAGAGAGACTGGTGAGCGGGCTTGACGCGCGGGGAAGGCGGAGCAGGAGGAGGTGCCGCTGCGGAGGATACTGGGGAGGCCGGGCGAACACAAGCCGGACAGAGAAGGCCCGGAGAAGGGGCAGCAGCCGGAGGTGGGGCATGGAAGTCTGCCCAAACAAGCGTCGGGGGAGGTGGAGGGAGGCTCGCCCGTCGGTCGCAGAGTGGAATGGGCGTGTCTCATCGAAGACGACATCACGGTTGCGAATCAGCTGTCTGGTGATTGGGTTGAGGAATAAGTAGTCTGGGGAGTCGGAGTTTGTGCCCCAGGTACATGCAGGTCTGGGTTTTGGGACCAAGCTTGCCACCTTGCTTCCTGCACGTGTGGGGGCTTAGCAACACATACGCGGTACACCCCCAGACGCGTAGAGAGTGGGCGGAAGGCGTGACCCAAGCCAGAGAGCGGTAGGTGTGGTGTCGGGCCGGTGGGGATGCGGATATCGAGTTTGCCATTGCGAAATTCTCCCCCGCCATCAGAATGGAGGCACTTCAGAGGAGTGCCGAACGTGACTTGAGCCTGGCGCACCCACGCCATGATGACATCAGGTGCCTCCGCCTTGGTATGCAGGAGGTGGCACAGAAACCATACCGCGAGTGGTCATCGACTAGTGTAAGAAAGTACCCGATGACCGCCTCGGGATGCGACTGGAGCTGGGCCCCAGACATCCATGTGCACTAGGTCCAGCGGAGCAGCTGCGCGATGGATGGGGAGGAAGGGTGCGGCTGCTGCCTGAGCTTGCTCTTGGTGCAGTCCAGGCAGGTGGGTGCAGGTGAGTCTGTTGGTGGAGGAAGCGCCGACGGGAGGCCAAGAAGAAGTTTCTTGGAAGCGATGTCGGCAAGTGTACGGAAGTTGGGGTGAACCCAAGCGATGGTGGTAGGAGGATGGTTGGGTTGGCGAAGCTGCGACACGAACACGGAGTGGTGCTGGCAGCTTGCGCTTGGGAGAGGGCGGCGAGAGGTGCAGGTGAACGCAGCGTGTTAGAGCTTGCTGCTGTTGAGTGTGAAGCGTGCTAGGAGCTTGTTGGACTTAGGGTCGAGGAGGTCACAGCAATCTGAGTGTGCTGGGAAGATCGTGGTGACGCCTGCCCGTTGGAGCTCGTGTTGGGCCACGAGATTGTGGCGTAGTGTGGGAACACAACATGCGGTGACACTGCCGAAGGAAAAGCTGGGCACGGAACTGTGGAGGAGCCTTTGGCGTGTGTTGTGAAAACTGGAGTCTGCTCCTAGTAGACGGATTGGTGTCTCGTATGGCTTGAAGGAGTGTTCTTCCTTGAGAACCGTGTGAGTGGCCCCCACTGTCGAGGGTGAACTCTATTGTGGCTGAGGTGCTTTGTGAGCCGGGACACTGCGAAATTGTCTCATTAATCATGGCTGTGCCAGGGAACAACATGTTGAGGCGCAAATCAGCAGTGGGAGCTACAGCAGCCTGCACGGATTCCTGCGCTTCGACTTGATTGACGTTGCGAGGAGCACGATTGACCATCCAGCTTGGCGGCTTCGAGGCGGTCCAATTGACGGCATACCAATCGTCATCCTTTTTCTTGAAGCAGGAGGCAAAGGCGTGGTTGGTGCCGCCACACACCTGGCCGGCACCAAGGGCCGTGCTTTGATTACATAGGGACAACGGGGGAACGGTTGCGCTGGAATGGCACGGAAGCGGCATAGGCTTGAGGCACAGGAGCGCGGATTTGCATTGGCCTTGGTTTGAGCGCTGTTGTCCTTTTCGGCAGAAAGGAGCGCGGATGAGACCTTGGCAAATGTGAGGTCTGCAGGAGCAAGGCCCAAGAGCATCTTGTGTGTGACTTCGTATGCCGGAGTGAGGCCGACTAGGAGAGCGGCTGCAGGGGCTTGGCTCGGGGAAGACTATCCCCACTGTTTGAGTTCACCATGAATGGACTGCACCTTGGTGACATAGTCCGCCATGCCTGGCGAGTCCTTGAGCCGCACTTGGAACATGCTGGGGATGAGTATATAGCAACTCCCACTGCAGTCTTGTTCAGGAAGCGATCACTCGAGGTAGAGCCAAAATGGCGTTGGCAGACGGGTAGTTTGTGGTAGGTTTCGACGAGTTCGGGGAGGAGTGGTGCCCATCGAAGACACTAATGACCAGCACCATCGGCCTTCTCCCAATTCTTGTTACTTGAGCAGTGCCAGCAGCATAAACTGCTTCAGCGGCGGCATTAGCTGGATCGGCGGACCTCTTGGGTTTAGGAGGCTCTTTGCCGTCACACGATGTTGAGAAGGACGTCGGTGAGCTCGAGCCCCTTCACCTCGCGACTGAGGAGGTGCTTGTCGACACCATAGGCCAAGCCTTGTAGTTGGAGCATAGTACCGTCCGGCTCGAGACGAAGGAGCGGGATCGGGGTTGGCGAGTGAAGTTGGTTGAGTAAGCCATTGTCGGTGTGCAGCGCGGCAGTTCTGGAAAATTGGTCGACGAGAATTGCTGAAAATCACTCTGACGGCTTTATCAAAATGCCGCTAAGTAGGAAATGGCGTCGGCGAAAATTCGTTAAATCGCCGACTTGAAACTGACTCTGAGCCTATGTCTAACCCCGGACCCACACACCCCCCCACACACCCCCAGGCCCTGTCCCGCAGCTACACAGCTCCGCAACCAGCTCCGCAACCAGCTCCGCAAGCAGCTCCGCTCCGCTTCAACCTGTGTACCTGCTCTTGCTTGACGCGAGACGTTCGTGGAGGCGATTTCGCGAGGGGAGTTCGCCTATTCTGGCGGGTCTGAGGGGAAACTCGAGAACGAGTTTTAAGAGATGGTCGAAATTGAGATTCGACCAAGGAGAACCGAGGAGGAAATCGACAATGAGAAGCGTGAAAGCTTCAGAGATGAGAAATTCAACGAGGTCGAGCGCGAAGGCGGTCAGCGATGAGAGGCGGGACTGCAGAGTGGAGCACGTCGAAATTCCGACGACTCGAAACGAATGTCGCGATGATGAAGTGCGCGTAGCGCGGGCACGTTAAGATTAGGACCTTGATCCGCGTGTGCGGTTAGGTCGCTCTGATACCACGTAAAAAAAAGAGTTGAAATGATTGATTAGGTAAGGAGCCAAGGTCTAATAAGTAATGGCAAGGTGAGAGAGAACGGATGAAGGGGGAATTGGAGGGAATCCCATTGGGATCTCCGGAATCTCCAATTGGGTAATTGGAGATTGTGGGGATCATAATTGGATGAGGTTGGGATTTGTGAGTACACCCCAACCCACTAGAACATTCACAACCTAAACTAGGATATAAAAGTACAAATACAAAAGTGGTATTTGCAGTCTATTTCTAACAGCTTGGCCGTGGGCGAGAATGTTTCGAAGAAGTCGAGATACTCCTTCTGGGTGAAACCCTTCGCCACGTAGCGTGCCTTGAACAGTGGAGCTTCGCCTGGAGTTGTTTGACTCGGAAGATCCATTTTCCGCCGACGATGTTGACACCGGAAGGGGAACAACATCATCAAAGCTGTTGTTGCGAATGAACGCCTCGTTCTCCACATCCATTGCTGCCTTCCACTCCTTCTTATAAGGCCCCGAGAGAGCTTCCTCTTTTGTGCGAGGAGTCGGAATGGTCTGGTTCTCGGTGAAGTTGAGGGAAGGGCAGTCAGTAATGTCCGGGAAATGTGAGAGAGAAATTGGCAGACCGCGTGAAGGTCAAACAGCTCCTCATGCCTGTCCTCCAGAAGTGCACAGGGGGGAATACGGATGGAGGGGACATCACCAACGGCAGGAGGAGGCGGGGTGACCGAACACCGGATGGAGAAGGCGGCTGGTCCCCAGGCGAGAGGCGGAGCCGATCCCTTGGAACGAGTGCGACTAGAGACCGGAGACGAAGGCGGCTGCGGTGGGACCGGAGGGACCGGGCGCCTCCGATAGGAGACTGGTGAGCCGGGCTCGACGCGCGGGGAAGGCGGAGCAGGAGGAGGTGCCGCTGCGGAGGATACTGGGGAGGCCGGGTGAGAGACGCCGGACGAAGAAGGCCCCGGAGAAGGGCAGCGGCCAGAGGTGGGCATGGAAGTCTTGCCAAACACAGCGTCGGGAGGTGGAGGAGGCTCGCCTCGTGGTCGCAGAGTGGACATGGCGTGTCTCATCGAAGACGACATCACGCTGCCGAATCAGCTGTCTGGTGATTGGTTGAGGAATAAGTAGTCTGGAGTCGAGTTGTGCCCCAGGTACATGCAGGTCTGGGGTCTTTGGACCAAGCTTGCCACCCCTTGCTCCTGCGCGTGTGGGGCTTATCAACACATACGCGGTACACCCCAGACGCATAGAGAGCGGGCGGAAGCGTGACCAAGCCAGAGAGCGGTACGGTGAGGTTGTTAGGATTAAGGACAGAGTCTAGGTGAACTTAGGAGCTAGAATTACTCAAAATATAAATCCGAAATTCTGGACAGAAAAGTCGTCTTCACAAGAAACGACGTCGACAAAACACTAGCCGTTGGAATGTCGCGAAACTTGGATATGTTGTAGCTCTTGATCTCAGCTACCGTTCCCAATTTGAATCACGTTGATTGATGAAGTATTCGCGACGCTATGGCTTTCGACGCACTAGGGGGTAAGCTGTAGGAGGAGAACTTAACTCAATCTCAAGAGTTCAATCAAAGTTCAAGAATCTCACAAGGAATTAGAGGAGCAAGAGAAAGGTTGGGATAGAAAGAGAGGGACGAGAGGGAAGGTCCCAAGAGAGTCCCCAACCAAGGAAACCCCATAAGCACAAAGATTCCCTCCCTATAGGAACCTCAACTTTGACCTTTGTCCCTTCCCAACCAATCCATCCAAGTTGGCCACCCTTGCCAACCTAGCTTGGTTGTTCCCAACCAATTTGCAGCTGTTACAGTAGAGTGACAAATTTCCCAAACCCCAAAGGTCCCAACTCCATATAGAGTCACCCCACAACTTCACTTTGTAACCGCCGCAATTGTAACGCAAGCTCATGAACTTTGAATCTTCATAGCTTTCGCGTTCTTGCTCCGATTGAAGGGATTCTCGTTGCGTCGGAAAGATCTTCTCAAGATCTATCATCACAAAAAACCTGCTCAAACAAAAATAACACAGAACACATTCCCAAACTCCAGAACACATCACACACAAATTCTTGCACAGTTCAAACCACACATGCAAGTTGAAAAATATGGGATGGGAGGCAGACAGAATGTGATAGCATATGATGACATCACACAACAATCTCCCCCTCTGGCTGCCAACCATCATCGACCATACCACATCTCAAGCATGCATACTCAATGCACACTCATCCCAGCAAGCTTCATGCCCTTCCAATGATCCGCCTCCGCCAGACGCTTGGTGAAAATATCTGCTGCCTGCTGATGGGTCTTCACTATCTCCAGCCGCACCTCCTTATCAAGGAGTCTCCTCACCCAATGCCACTTAGGCCTTATGTGTTTTGTCAGCCCATGCAGACAAGCATTCTTGGCGAGCTTCACAGCGGACTCATTGTCACAAACACAACTGTCGGCTTCTCCTGACCAACTCCCAACTCCTCCAACAAACGCCTTAGCCACACTACTTCCTTGGCCCCATGGTGTAAGGCCATGTACTCAGTCTCACATGAGGACAATCCCACCTCATTCTGCTTCTTGCTGCGCCAGCTCACAGCACCACCTCCTAGCAAGCACACATAACCCCCAATGCTGGTGCCATCCGCTTTCACTGAGTTGAAGCTAGCGTCAGTATAGCAACTCAAGAGCATCTCTCCACTCTTCACATCTGCAGCACCTCTCTGCAACCGCTGCCTCACTCCACTGTACTCCAATCCCACTGATGCCGTAGCGCTCACATAGCGGACCAACCTCTTGGCCGCTTCCAGCTGCTCATGACTAGGGCGTGAGACCACACTAGCCAACTCGTGATGTAGCAAATGCAATGTCAGGCCGTGTATGATTTGCAGCATAATTCAGCGACCCAACCATCGAATGAAACAGCTTCCTGTCACTATCACCCACTACCTCCTCATCAGCACATGGCTCCACAGTAAACCCTGAAGGTAGTGGTGTTGCTGGCTTTCCCCCATCTTGCAGCCCATACTTCTCAGCCAGCCCCTCACAGTACTTCCTCTGGTGCAACCTCAGCACACCCTTTTCCACATCTCTCTCCACGTGCATCCCCAAGTAGTACTTCACCTCACCCATCTTGGAGCACTTGAACTGCATCTCCAGCATCTGCTCTGCGCTGTCCAGCAAAGCAGTTGATGCAGAAAAGAGAAGGATATCATCCACATACACCAAGAGCATGAGGATTTCATCCTTCTCCTGCAGCAGGAACAGGCTGGGGTCACACTCACTCTTCTTGAAACCCCCAGCCAACAGCGCCTCCTCCAACTTGTGATACCATGCACGAGGCGCCTGCTTAAGGCCATAGATGGCCTTCTTCAGCCTGCAGACCCTGCCGCTCCGTCATCCAGCCCCTCTGGCTGCTTCATGTACACCTCCTCCATAATGATCCATTCAGAAAGGCAGTCACAATATCCATCTGCCGAATCTTCCATCCCAGGAGTGCAGCTATCGCCAACAGCACCCTCAGTGTTGTTCCTTTCCCCACAGGAGCAAACACCTCATCATAGTCCTTCCCTTTTGTCTGCTGAAACCCCCTTGCCACAAGCCTGGACTTGTAGCGGGTCAGCTCCCCTTCAGGTCCATACTTGTGCCTGTAGATCATCTTGGAAGTGATTGCCTTCTTTCCAGGAGGCAAGTCACACAGGTCCCATGTCTCGTTCTCAATTAGGGACCCGAACTCCTCATCCTCACTCGCCTTCCACTTCTCCCCATTTGGTCCATTCAAAGCCTCCTCTCGAGTCTTGGGCTCAGGGATTGGTGCCCAGTAGCAGTGAGCGATCTCATCTTCCTCAATCTGCTCAACCACACTCCCAGCCTGCACCACATTTGGCTTGCCTCTTCCCCCATAGGTCAGCCTCACTGGAGGGCGCACATCCCTCCTAGGACGCTCAGGCGGGTGTGGAACTCGAGGTGGAGACTCATGCTGCTGCTGCTGCTGCTCTACTTCAGCTGCTCCCCCTTCCTCAGTCACCCCAGACATCTCCTCCTCTGACACTGCAACCTCCACCTGTCTTGAAGGGTGCTGCACCTCATCTGCCTCCACAATGAGCGGTGTAGATGGAAGCTTCTGTTGCTGCTGCTTCCATTCCTTGTAGTACAGGGACTCAAGAAACTTCACATCCCTTGACACTGTCAACTTCTGGGTGGTCAAGTCCCATAGCAGCCACCCCTTGTGATCCTTTGCAATCCCCAAGTGCACACCCCATCTTCCAGAAGCCTCCAACTTCCCCCTTTTATCCTTAGGCACATGAAACACCACCATGCACCCAAATGCCCTCAGCATGTTCACAGCTGGAGCACTCCCATACCACTTGACGTATGGGATCCACTCCTTATCTCCAACTGTAGCCAGCACCCTGTTCTTCACAAGGGCGACCTGCCTCAGTGCAGACACCCAAAACGGATCAGGCAGCCCTGCACGCCCAAGGAGAGTGCGTGCCCCCTCCTGCAGGGTCCTGTTGAACCTCTCAGCCACGCCATTCTGCTGTGGGTTGTAGGGCACTGTCAGTTGATGCTGGATCCCCTTCCTCTTCAACTCCCCCTCAAAATCAGCTCCAATGAACTCCCCACCATTGTCACTGCGGATCACCTTCACCTTGTGTCCGCATTCCCTCTGAGCTCTAGGCATCCACTCCTTAAGGACAGCCGCTGCCACCTCCCCCTTGCTCTTCAAAGGGTAAACCCACACTGCCCGAGTGTGGTCATCCACAATTGTCAAGAAATAGCGGCTGCCTGAGAGGGAAGGGGCTCTTGTGGGCCCCACCACATCCATATGCACAAGTGCAAGTGGGGTCTTGGCTGGTCCTGTAGTGCTGTTGAAGGGGAACTTGGAGAACTTGGTCTCCAAGCATGTAGGGCAGCTCCCAATCTCCTTCACTCCCCCTTTCACCTCCAAGCCTTTCAGGCTCCCATCCTTTACCAACTTCTGTAGCATAGGGAAGTTCACATGACACAGCCTCTCATGCCATGTCTCCCAATCGGCCTCTCCACTCTTTGATGAAGCCTTAGCCCATGCCGCACTCGCATCCACACCAGCAAGCACCTCACCATGTCTCTGCTGCTGCTGCACTTTCTTGACTGCTTCCAGGACCCCATCAGTTGGTGCAGTTGCATCTCCTCCTGCTGTTGCCTTTGCCGCTGCTGCCGTTGCTGCTGTTGGAGTCTTCCCATTCCAAGGGATGATGGGCAGCTGCCACAGGTCCTTGATGCAGCTGGTCTCCTCTTCCAGACTCCACAGCACCTTCTTCCCAAGCTTAGCACGGCAGCTGGTTGGTCCAAAGGTCACTTCGGCCTTACTCTTCTGCAGTCGCCGCACAGAGAGAAGGTTAGCAGACAAGCCTTTAACCAGCAGAACATTCCCAAGCCCCACAAGCTCCCCATTAGCTCCCTTAACCTTGGCATTCCCAACACCAATCACGGGGAGCAAAGCACCTGACGCTGCTGCCACATACTTAATCTTCCCAGGGGTTTTACCTCATCAAGCAAATCTGCCCGTGGAGTCATGTGACTGGTGCAACCCGAATCAATCACCCAGTGCGTGAGAGGGTGCATCACAACCTTTCCCACAGATCCCACATCACCCTCATGCCCATGCACATCCTCAACCATAACAAACAAACCAGGATAGGCATTACCTTGTGCACCTTCACCTTGTGCACCTGAGCCTTGCACAGCGCCACCTTGTGCGCGTTCACCACTGGGCGGCTTCATGCCTGGAGGTGCCCATCCCTCCAGCCTGCTGAAGCACTTGAACCAAGGATGCCCAACCTTCTTGCAGTACCAGCACGTGCCCTCCATTCTGGTACTCCCCCTGCCACTAGAGCTCCCATGCCCCTCATTATAGTCACCTCGGCCTCTACCTCTGCCAAAGCTCCTCCCACGGCCTCGGCCTTTCCAACCCCCTCTTCCTCTGCTGCGCCCTGCAGCTCCATACCCCTCAGCAGTCTTAGTGGCAGCACCGCCTCCCACATGGCGTCTGCGGAAGTCCTCCTGCAGAATCTGCTGCCTTAGCCACTCAGGTGTCCATTGATCTTGCTGAGAGTTGAGGGTGGGGATGAGGTTGTCCCAAGAGTTGTCCAACACCGAGATGATCTTGGTGCACTGCTGCAGCTGAGATACACTGCTGCCCGCTGCTGCCATCCTTGCATAGGTGTCCTTGATCTTGTCAAGGACCGGCTTCACATCGTCCCCTGGTCGCATGGAGATGGCAGCAAGTTCCTTCTCGAGCACGATCACCATCGGGAGAGTGTTGGGCTGAACCACATCACGTAGTAGTTTCCACGCCCTTGGACCCGAATCATCCGCTTCCACAAGATCCTTGATGTGCTCGAACATCTCCTTGTTGACCGATTGAAGAATGAGGTCGAAAAGCACCGCGCTTTTCTCAATCCACCGTTCACGTGCTTCGCCTTCTTCCGGCATCTTCTCTTCCCCAACAGCAATCTTCAGGAGCTTGTAGCGTTTGAAGGCACTCCTCATCCGTCCGCTCCATTCCTCATAGTTGGAGCCATCCAAAGCTTCAACTTTTGATGGCGGCGGCTCACTTGTCTTCTCAGCTACAGCTCCTCTTCCATTAGCATCTCCTCCTCTCTCAATCATCTTCTCCTTGAGAAATGACGAATTTCAGCTCCCCTTTGCTGTCCACACTCAGCTCCCTCGATATTTTCACAAGTGTCGGCGTCCACGAAATTTCGGCAGAGTTTCCCCTTAGCGGAAGACACATCCAACCTTTAGAACACCACTTAGGCACACCCACAGGCCATGGTGGGTCTAGAAGGGTCTTCACACTTCTGTAGACTCCTCTCAATGTCCTTAATATCGCTCTGATACCACTTGTTAGGATTAAGGACAGAGTCTAGGTGAACTTAGGAGCTAGAATTACTCAAAATATAAATCCGAAATTCTGGACAGAAAAGTCGTCTTCACAAGAAACGACGTCGACAAAACACTAGCCGTTGGAATGTCGCGAAACTTGGATATGTTGTAGCTCTTGATCTCAGCTACCGTTCCCAATTTGAATCACGTTGATTGATGAAGTATTCGCGACGCTATGGCTTTCGACGCACTAGGGGGTAAGCTGTAGGAGGAGAACTTAACTCAATCTCAAGAGTTCAATCAAAGTTCAAGAATCTCACAAGGAATTAGAGGAGCAAGAGAAAGGTTGGGATAGAAAGAGAGGGACGAGAGGGAAGGTCCCAAGAGAGTCCCCAACCAAGGAAACCCCATAAGCACAAAGATTCCCTCCCTATAGGAACCTCAACTTTGACCTTTGTCCCTTCCCAACCAATCCATCCAAGTTGGCCACCCTTGCCAACCTAGCTTGGTTGTTCCCAACCAATTTGCAGCTGTTACAGTAGAGTGACAAATTTCCCAAACCCCCAAAGGTCCCAACTCCATATAGAGTCACCCCACAACTTCACTTTGTAACCGCCGCAATTGTAACGCAAGCTCATGAACTTTGAATCTTCATAGCTTTCGCGTTCTTGCTCCGATTGAAGGGATTCTCGTTGCGTCGGAAAGATCTTCTCAAGATCTATCATCACAAAAAACCTGCTCAAACAAAATAACACAAAACACATTCCCAAACTCCAGAACACATCACACACAAATTCTTGCACACGTTCAAACCACACATGCAAGTTGAAAAATATGGGATGGGAGGCAGACAGAATGTGATAGCATATGATGACATCACACAACAGAAGCCGAAGCTGATGTACAGGACGAAACAGTTTCTGAAGCATCCGAAGCTGCTGCAACTGACATTCCCGAACCTGTAACCTCGACTGGCATACCAGAGTTTATTCCACTTGCAGATGCTGACACGGATGATGTTTGCGAAGTTCGTCTCAGTTACGAACGCGATCGCCAACAGCAGCCGATGCCCGCCGTCTCTGACGAAGCAGTTCGTGTTACACCTGACGAAATTGGGGGGGAAGAAGGAGCAGAAGAAAATTTCGCAGGTGCAAACGAAGAACGTCTGCGTTTTACAGAAACAGGATTGCAGATACTGGGATTTGCAGTAGCAGTACAGTGCAACGACAGTAAGATACCTGAACCGAAAACCGTTCGACAAGCTCTTACGAGTCCTCACCGAGAGAAATGGCGCGAAGCCATGGACAGAGAGCTAGCAGCTCTCAAGAATCGCGGAACATGGGATTTAATACCGACTTCAGAAGTAAAAGGGAAGAAGGTACTTACCGGAAAATGGGTTTTCCGCGTCAAGACAAATTCAGACGGGTCGTTTGAAATGTTCAAAGCGCGATGGGTCGTCCGCGGATTCGAGCAGACTTACGGCATCGACTATGAACTAACCTTCGCCCCTGTCGGGCGACATACGAGCGTTCGAGTTCTTCTTTGTGTCGCCGCCTGTCGTAATCTACGTCTTCGCCAAATCGACGTCTCGAATGCGTTTCTCTACGCGCCTGTCGACGCACTCATCCTGTATCTTCACTCGCAGCTGATCATTGCTGGATTTCGACAGTTACCGCATGATCAGGGGATGTATCTACTGACCGACGGCAGGAAGTATATTTTACTCGTCGCCTACGTCGATGACATCCTATACATCAGTACTACGATTCCCTTGCCGAGACCTTCATACTGAAATTACAGGAAAATCTACAGCTTACCGTCTCCGAAACAGTCACACAGTTTCTTGGACTGAACATTACCTGTTCACCGACAACTATTCATCTCACCGCTTCGAAGTATGCAGCAACACTCGCTGCCCGCTTCAACCTCACACCTACTGCAGTCTCTACACCGTACCGCTCACTACCGACTGACTACAAACCGAACACCGCACCGTTAACTTCAACCGGTTTACAGATCTATCAACAGCAGCTAGGCTGTCTACTTTTCGCCGCTGTCACTTGTCGTCCTGATCTAGCCTATGCGGCCAGTCAGCTCGCACAGTTCCTACGCCGTCCTGAGGAGGAGCATCAGCTTGATCTTCTCCGCACGCTTCAGTATTTTATCTCGACACCTGACGTCGGATTAGTCTACAACGTCATTGGTTGTAAAACATTCTATCTACACGGTTTTGTCGACGCCGATCACGCTGCTGATTCTACTAATCGACGGTCACGCACTGGGTTCATCTATCGACTGGAGCCTATCGGACCTATCTCTTGGAATTCTACGAAGCAGAAGCTGATTGCACTCTCCTCTACTGAAGCTGAGTTTATTGCTGTCTGCACAGCAACACACGAAGGACTTTACTTACAGGAACTATTGGAAGAAGCGAAGTTGACGACAACTACCCAGTTTACCCTACAGTGCGACAATCAAAGTGCGATTCGCATCGCACATCAGCCTGGTTTCGTCAACAGAACGAAACATATTTCGCTTCGTTATTTTTTCGTCAAAGATGAAGTCGAGAAGGGGAGGATGCGATTGGTCTACTGTTCGACCAACGAAATGGCTGCCGATTTTCTTACGAAGAAGCTGACACGACAGAAGTTTCAGTACTGTAACAAGCTCTGCGGAATCTTCAAGAAGTGACACTATCGAACTTCCAGAAATGAAGGGGAGTGTTGTGATATATTTGATACTTAGCATTTCTGTAAGTCGATTATGTGTAGTTAGTGTCGAATCATACTGTAGAAGATAAGTCCGTAGGATGACGTCAGCAAATAGCGCTCGTCATAGGACAGTCGTTTCAGTCACGCGAACAGTCGCACCCCTTCATTATCATCTAGGGCGCATAGCGCGATAGTGACGAACAGGTACATTAGCGAATAGGTACTTTTCGTAGAACTATAAATCTCTATTAGGTCTTTTTCATTATTAACTTTGATTACTCACAAGTTCACGTACTCAGGTTATTCAACCTTGACCTTTACATGTTACAAGACTTCCGCTGTCTTACTAGTCTACCATTCCAGCAAAGATCCTGGACCAACACTTGAGGATTTGCCAAGTGTTCTTGTTTATAGTTTTATACTTAGTCTACTACAACATCAGACGATTTATTTCAGTACTCTTGCTGACGGGTCTTCGGGCCCCTGCCTCAGAGGTTGGACTAGTAGTGCCACCCTGAGCTGCATGTTTCTTGCTCTGCACTACCCCTTATCTAGCCTAGGGGGTGTGTCAACTTATACATATATTGTTATTGAGAAAGCTTGCTTTCTTGTCCTTGGCAATGGCATCGTTCTCATTTCAAGTGGGTGCGCGTAGTTGGAGAAGGGCGAGTAGCGCGCTTCGACGATGCCCAATGCTTCAGTACAATCAGCTTTGCTTTCACAATAGACAATTTTTGAAAAACACTGCGTGTGTTAAAAATTATAATATGTAGAAGTTATAGGCTAGATAGGGTATGTTCTTAGTGGGTACAACCCAAATGCTATATCTCCCATGTTCTCCTTTCTTCTAATCATTCTTTCTAGTCTTAACACGGATGCCCCTGTCAAAAGACTAGCTTAGCTAGGAAGCCATAGAATGGCACAAGGTTTAGCTAGGAGCTAGGAGGAGCCATGAGAATGGCGAGAGGTTTTAGGTGCTAGGAAAATTGAGGAGAGAAAAAGAGTTTGGGAATAGAAGAGAGAGGGATACAAGGAGGGGTGTTGTACCCTCTACAGTAAAGTTCAGTAACCTACCAAGCCTAACAATTATATAACACAATATATAATTTTAACACACCCCCTAGGCTTGGTAGTCACATGCCCACACACACCCACACCCCCTAACCTAGCACCCCCATTCCAGCCACAGTGACAGCGACACTAGGTCGGTCGACCCCACGGCGCGTGAGGCGGCGACGTCGACCGCAGGGGCTGCGGTGGCGACGGCGGCAACGGCGGCAGTGTCGACAGCGGCGGCGGCGGCGGCGTGCGGCTGCGTGGCCCCGACGCAAGCGGCGACAGCGGCGGTGGCGGTGGCTTCGACATCAGCGGCGGCGGCGGCGGCACCCGCACCTCTCGGTGACGTGGCCAGGCCCCGCGACGGTGGGACGGCCGGCGGGAGTCAGCCGTCGTCTGTGGAAAGGAAGAGGACACAGGGGAAGGAGGGGGGTGGGGGGGGGGGGGACGCCACAGGCTGACATGCGGGCGGCCGGTCTAGCGGCACCACAGGCGTCGCGTGGCCGGCTGCAGCCCGACGACGCCGTCATGGAGCGGCGTCGATGCCGCAGCGGGACGTCGACGCTGCGACGGCAGCACGACGTCGCCGTCACGCCGACCGCGCGCTGTCGCGTAGACGCCGCGGCAGCGTGACGGCGCCGTCACGTCGCAACAGCAGCTTGACGCGACGGCGGAGCTGCGGTACGACGGCGCGGCCATAGCAGCTGGACGCGGGCGCCATGAACGTCGACGGCGATGCCGCGGCACGACGACACGGCCACAGCAGCTTGACGCGGCCGCCATGGCAGCGCGAGATAGAGAGAGGAACGAGCACGCAGCGGAAACTCGAGGAGCAGGCCCACAAGGAACGAACTGCTCTAATACCATGTCAAAAGACTAGCTTAGCTAGGAAGCCATAGAATGGCACAAGGTTTAGCTAGGAGCTAGGAGGAGCCATGAGAATGGCGAGAGGTTTTAGGTGCTAGGAAAATTGAGGAGAGAAAAGAGTTTGGGAATAGAAGAGAGAGGGATACAAGGAGGGGTGTTGTACCCTCTACAGTAAAGTTCAGTAACCTACCAAGCCTAACAATTATATAACACAATATATAATTTTAACAGCCCCGACCAGTAGAAGGGCTCAAATAAGGCCAGGAACAGTCAACCACAGTCAACAGTCAACCGCGGTCAATGGTTGACTGTTACTGTCAACCAGATTCCCAACCCGTGGTTGCTCTGACTGCAACCTCAGCCTGCTACCCGCTACCTGCTATCTGCTACACCTGTGGTTGTGTTTCCACCAGTCGAGCTTCAAATCCTTAATTCTCTGCGTTATCTCAAGTTTCGCGCTTGTGCCAATTAAGTGGAGATTTGTCGATTCTGTATGCTGTCATTTGTATCCAGTGCGGTGTATCATGGTGGTTGATATGCACATGTAGCAGCATTACCAGCCTGAAATGTACAAAAGATCACATCTACAGTACAGTGGCATACGCATTGACCTTGTCCTTATCCCTTTCCTACTATTCCTGCCTACCAGAATATCTGTTCAGCTTCACACTTTCCTCATTCCTTCAACCAGATGTGGCCCTCCCACTCTTACTTCCACTCCCTCTCCCTCCTCTCCCACCTCTCCCTCCTCTTCCGCCTCTCCCCCTCTTCCTCGTCCCTTCTCTCCACCACTCTCCACTCCTTTGCCCCGCTCTCCTCCCGATCTTCCTCCTGTCCCTGCCTCTCCCGTCCCTTCTCCTTCCGAACCTACTGGTCTGGTTCGGCGCTTGCTTCGCCAGAGCAGCCGGATCGGCGTGCCCTCGAAGTCAATGTTCTCCCGAAGCTGATTTTCCATGTATCGTCGGTACTGCTGCCCGAAAAGTTTTCGCGTCGTTAACGAAAAACACGAAGGTTGGAGGGTTAGTTGCTGCTTGTGTGCTGTAGTAGATTTTCCCCTCGCTTGTTACCCTTGCCGCCTCCGGGCAGCAGCTGAAAAGAAACGGCCTCTCCGACCACTTGGTTCAGAGTGGCTGTCGTGAGGCGCTTGGCCCGCTGCTGGGCAGCAAAACGGGCAGCTTCCAAAATCCTGAGAATTGAGTAGAGAGAAGAGGAACAAAAGGAATTTGTGCGTGAGCGTGTGCGTGTGTCATACCATGGTGTGTGTGTGTGTGTGTGAGTGTGTGTGTGTGAGAGAGTGTGCATCGTGCCATGAGCACGTGTGTGAGTGAGAGGAGTCCTTTGCTGAGGCCACAAAGATGTAGAGCCACAGACAGCCACTACATGCGTCGGGACAAAATACAACCGAGGGTCACTCACTTTTGCAACCCACTGGTGGAGGCAGACGTGAACCGAAGCAGCAAGATGACTTTTCAGTTGACTCAAAAGGCCCCTCAAAGCCACTGACAGCTGCTATACGCGTCGGGAATAAATACGGCCGAAAGACACCAGACGAGATGGCAACACACTGTGGGAGACCAGCAGCGGAGCCTAGGGCATAATGGACCGCAGCTTCCCATGCACCTCCTGAGTGTAGCTGGCCGTGCTGCTGGCGCCTTTGCCAGACTCACTTGCACCCACAAAGGTACCCACGCAGATAGCTTCTCACTTTTGAACCCTCTGCCCAGCTGTAGCAGACGTGAACACCAGGGGAGCCCAGGGCATGGACCTCAGCTTCTCGCCCATGGTTCTCAGTGTGGCTGACCGTGCTGGCGGCGACCAAAGCTTACCTACATGTATGTACACACACACACCGAACTCAACCACTCACTTTTGAACCCTTTGACCAGTCGTTGCCGAGGTGAAGACGAGGGGAGCTCATGGTATGGAGCGGAGCTCTCGCGCACGTCCTCCATGTAGCTGACCGTGCTGCTGGCGTCTTTATCCACTCACTTGCACTCAAACCCACAGCCACTCACTTGGCAACCCTTTGCCCTGTCGTAGCAGAGGTGAACACCAGCGGAGCCCACGGCATGGATCGGAGCTTCTCCCACACGTCCTGCGTGCAGCTGGCTGTGCTGCTGGCGTCTTTGTCAGACCCATTTGTGCCCACCCAGATACACACACACGGCGACTCACTTTTGAACCCTTTGCCCTGTTGTGGCAGAGGTGAACACCAGCGGAGCCCACGGCATGGATTCGAGCTTCTCGCCCACGTCGTCCGTGTAGCTGACCATGCTGGTGGGTTCCTTCCCAGGCTGAATTGTGCCCGCACATACCCACACCGACAGCCACTCACTTTTGAGCCCTTTGCGCCGTGGTTGCCGACGTGAAGACGAGGGGAGCCCACGGCATGGACCTGAGCTTCTCAAACCCCAGCCACTTACTTGGCAACCCTTTGCCCTGTTGTAGCAGACGTGAACACCAGTGGAGCCCACGGCATGGACCTGAGCTTCTCCCGCACGTCCTCCGTGTAGCTGACCGTGCTGGTGACACCTTTATCTGCTCACTTGGACCCATCCCCACTCACGCATACACTCAAACCCCCAGCCACTTACTTGCAACCCTTTGCCCTGTTGTAGCAGACGTGAACACCAGCGGAGCCCACGGCATGGACCTGAGCTTCTGGCGCACATCCTCCGTGTAGCTGACCGTGCTGGTGGCGTCTTTATCCGGCACAGTGTCCCACTTGTTCACTATCAGCACGCACGCCCTTGCCCTCTTTCTCGATCTGCTCTGCCAGACGCAGGTCCTGAGGGGGGGAGGTGAGGGGTGAGAGGGAATAGAGACAGAGGAAGAGTGGGGAAAGAGTGGGTGAGAGTGCTACTGGTGGCGTATTTATCAGGCACCGTGTCCCACTTGTTCACTATCAGCACGCACGCCTTGTCCTCTTTCTCTATCTGCTCTGCCAGACGCAGGTCCTGCAGACAGGAGCAGCAATAGAGACCAGGAGATGACAGAGAAGATTGGTGGAAAAAGAGAGGGGGAGGGAAGAATTGGGGGCGGCGTGGGTAGCTGGCATTGTGAGGTGCCGTGTCCCACGTGTTGGCTATCCGCACACACGCCGTGCCCTCTCTCTCTATCTGCTCTAAACCTGAAACCCCTAAACCCGAAACCCTAAACTCACTAGCAAGCAATGGCAGCACTCACCTGCTCTGTGACGCACAGCATGGCGTCGACCACCAGCCCCACTACATCCGCCCTCCTCACAGCCCTCAGGGCTCGGTTCACAGAGAGGCTCTCTGCCTTGCTGCCTGCTGCTGCCACCGCCGCCCTCCTCCTCACCCCCGCCGTGTCGATCAGAGTGTACTCCTGCTAGGGGAGGAAGGAGGGGGGGAGGGGGAGAGGGAAGAGAGAGGGGCGGAAGGAGGGAGGGAAGTGTGCATCTGTGCTCGGTTCACGGACAGGCTCTGACGTGTCGATCAGAGTGTACTTCTGCAGAGAGGGGCGGAAGGGGAAAGAGAGGGGTGGAAGGGGAAAGAGAGGGGCGGAAGGGGAAAGAGAGGGGCGGAAGGGGAAAGAGAGGGGTGGAAGGGGAAAGAGAGGGGCGGAAGGGGAAAGAGAGGGGTGGAAGGGGAAAGAGAGGGCGGAAGGGGAAAGAGAGGGGCGGAAGGGGAAAGAGAGGGGCGGAAGGGGAAAGAGAGGGCGGAAGGGGAAAGAGAGGGGTGGACGGTGGGAGGGCGGATAGCATCAATGCTCGGTTCACAGACAGGCTCTCTGCCTTGCTGCCTGCTGCTGCCACCTCCTCTCCTGCGCTGTGCACTCCTGCTGTTTCTTTCAGAATGTATGAGGGAGGAGGGCGAAAGGGGAGCATGAATGCTCCGTTCATCGACAGACACTTTGCCTTGCTGCCTGCTGCTGCTGCAACTCATGCTCTCCTGCTCACCTCACCTCTGCAACTTAGAGTCGATGGCATCCCTTGTGGTGCGGCTGACAGGGCTCACGCTGGTCCAGTTTTGAGGTGCTTCAAAACTGGTACGGCTGACAGGGCCCACTCAAAATGGTCCTCTCCTCCCTCAGCAGCGCGTTCACCATGAAGTGAAGGGGACATTTGCCAATAAAAAAAGCTACATGCAAATAGACGCAGGATTCAAGGCCCACGTGCCCATCTGGACCAGTGAGCTTGGAATCACTGGCATCACGCGTTGTGGCGCTGCAAGGGCACCTGACACCACTTACCAGTGCTAACTCATAGTGCTATCTAATGACACACCTGCCCATCTGGCCCGGTGAACTTGGAATCGATGGCATCCCATGCGGTGCCACTGACAGGGCTCACAAACGTCCTCTCCTCCCCCAGCAGCGCGTTCACTTCGCTATGCTTCTCTTCCTCACGCTCAACTCAACCATGAGCCAACAGAGGGCTGCATCAAACACGCGCCAATCAACCACCTCACCTGACCATCCGGCCCGGTGAACTTGGAGTCGATGGCGTCACGCGTGGTGCCACTGACAGGGCTCACAATCGTCCTCTCCTCCCCCAGCAGCGCATTCACGATGCTGCTCTTGCCCACGTTGGGCCGACCCACAATCGCCAGCGCCACTCGACCAAGCTGTAGGGGGGTGTGGGGGGAGAGACAGAAAAGACCATCACTATTCTCCTGACTCAAATCACACAGCATCCCCCCCAAAAAACGCGTTCGCTATGCTGCTCTTGCCCACATTGGGCCGACCCGCGATGGCCAGCGCCACTCGACACAGCTGCAGGGGAGGGGATGGGGGAGGGGACAGGGGAAGACCATCCTCCCCCAGCACAGGGGAGGGGACAGGGGAAGACCACCGCTCTTTTCCTGACACATGCTGCACCACCGTCTCCCAGCCGCGCGTTCACTGTGCTGCTCTTCCCAACATTTGGCCTACCTTTGCAGCGGCAGCAGAGTCGCTCTTGGTGATAGTGGAGAGGGAGGAGAGGGAGGCGGGGGGAGGGAGGAGGAGAGGGAGGAGGAGAGGGAGGAGGAGAGGGAGGAGGAGAGGGAGGAGGAGAGGGAGGAGGAGAGGGAGGAGGAGAGGGAGGAGGAGTGGGAGGAGGAGAGGGAGGAGGAGAGGGAGGAGGAGAGGGAGGAGGAGAGGGAGGAGGGGAGGAGGAGGAGAGGGAGGAGGAGAGGGAGGAGGGGAGGGAGGAGTGGGAGGAGGGAGGGAGGAGGAGAGGGAAGAGGAGAGGGCGGAGGAGAGGGAGGAGGAGTGGGAGGAGGAGTGGGAGGAGGAGAGAGAGGAGAGGGAGGAGGAGAGGGAGGAGGAGTGGGAGGAGGAGAGGGAGGAGGAGAGGGAGGAGGAGAGGGAGGAGGAGAGGGAGGAGGAGAGGAGGAGGAGAGGGAGGAGGAGAGGGAGGAGGGGAGGGAGGAGGAGAGGGAGGAGGAGTCGGAGGAGAGGAGGGAGGAGGAGAGGGAGGAGGAGAGGAAGGAGGAGAGGGAGGAGGAGTGGGAGGAGGAGAGGAGGAGGAGTGGGAGGCAGAGAGGGCGGAGGAGAGGGAGGAGGAGAGGGAGGAGGAGAGGGAGGAGGAAAGGGAGGAGGAGGAGAGGGAGGAGGAGAGGGAGGAGGAGAGGGAGGAGGAGTGGGAGGCAGAGAGGGCGGAGGAGAGGGAGGAGGAGAGGGAGGAGGAGAGGGAGGAGGAGGAGAGGGAGGAGGAGAGGGAGGAGGAGAGGGAGGAGAGGGAGGAGGAGAGGGAGGAGGAGAGGGAGGAGGAGTGGGAGGCAGAGAGGGCGGAGGAGAGGGAGGAGGAGAGGGAGGAGGAGAGGGAGGAGGAGGAGGAGGAGAGAGTGAAGGACCGGGTGGAGGTGACCTTTGAGTCAACTCAGAAGGAGGAGGATGAGGAGAGGGGACATGTGCATCACACCTAACGACCAACCAACCTACCTGTGCAGTGGTAGCTTTTTAGTCGACTCAAAAGAAAACCAACCTACCTGTGCAGTGGCAGCTTTTTAGTCGACTCAAAACTGACTCGACTCAAAAGAAAACCAACCTATCTGTGCAGTGGTAGCTTTTTAGTCGACTCAAAAGAAAACCAACCTATCTGTGCAGTGGTAGCTTTTAGTCGACTCAAAAGAAAACCAACCTATCTGTGCAGTGGTAGCTTTTTAGTCGACTCAAAAGCTGAGTCGACTAGAAAACCAACCTACCTGTGCAGGGGTAGCAGAGTTGCCGCCAGTGATGGTGGAGAGGGAGGCGTAGGGTGGGACGAGGCGACGACTCAAAAGGAGGGGGAGGGGGAGGGGGAGAGGGGAGAGAAAGAGGGAAAGGGAGAGGGGAGGGGAGAGGGAGAGGGAGAGGGGAGAGGGAGGGGGAGGGAGAGGGGAGAGGAGAGAGGGAGAGGGAGAGGGAGGGGGAGGGGGAAACGGGAGAGGGAGGGGGAGAGGGGAGAGAAGATATGCATGACACCTTATGACCAACCAACCTACCTGTGCAGCAGTAGCTCTTTAGTCGTCTCAAAAGCTGAGTCGACTAGAAAACCAACCTACCTGTGCAGGGGCAGCAGAGTCGCCGCCGGTGATGGTGGAGAGGGAGGAGGGAGACGCACTCTCCTGCATTGGCAAATGGGGAAAGGGGTTGAAACGAAGGAGCACTTTTTGGAAACTTTTGAGGCGCCGCAGAAGGGCACTTCAGGATTGGCAAAGGAAGAGAGGGAATGAAAGACGAGGTGACTATTGAGTCGGCTCAAAAGTCATCTAATCCTGTAAGGAGCAGCAGAGAAATGAGCGAGCAACAGACTGAGCAGCCAAGGAGGGGGCGGCCGAACAAGGAACATTCGAAATTCACTGCCTCGCCTCGAGTGTGGAATCACCCGCACACATCAGGCAAAGGAAGAACCTCCATCAGCTCATTCTCGAGCCGCTTCGAACAATGCACCTTGGGAAAAGTAAGGGCTTTCAAAAGCTCGTCGTGGCTTTTGAGTCGACTCAAACAATGCACCTCAAACGATGCACCTCAAACGATGCACCTCAAACTATGCACCTCAAACAATGCACCTCAAACAATGCACCTCAAACCATGCACCTCAAACCATGCACCTCAAACCATGCACCTCAAACCATGCACCTCAAACCATGCACCTCAAACCATGCACCTCAAACGATGCACCTCAAACAATGCACCTCAAACAATGCACCTCAAACGATGCATCTCAAACGATGCACCTCAAACGATGCACCTCGAACGATGCACCTCAAACCATGCACCTCAAACGATGCACCTCAAACGATGCACCTCAGGAAAAGGAAGGGCTTTCAAAAGCTCGTCTAGCAGGTCGCCTGTGCCCGTGCCTTGCATTGCCGCATGCTGCTTTCCTTCACCTAACCTTAGTTGCTACAAACGCTCTGGCAGACACGCGTTTAGCGTTCAAACGCTTGCGTTTGAACGCAAACGCCAAACGCACCCAAAAACGCAAACGCTCTCTGGGATATTTTTCGGGCTGCCCCCCCAAAAAAAACACGAGATTGTCGTTAGAGAATAGCATTAAGGATAGGTGATTTACATGACACATGAGGATGCTGGCTTAAATGTTAAGCACGGTTCTTTTTGTGAGACAAAATGCTTGCTGGTAGAACCCCCATGTTTCCCCCCTCACCCACAAGAATCTTGAACCCCTGCCCGGGTAAAAATTTTACCCCTGCCCGGGCAAGCGTTTGCCTAGCGTTCACATACACACTGCCGAGCGTTTAGCGTTCAAACTCTAGCGTTTAAACGCTAGCGTTCAAACGCCAAACGCGTTTGTAGCAACTAAGCACCTAACTCATCAGAGTACCCCCTCCCTCACCACCTCACCCCCTCCCTCCAGGGCAGAGAAGAAAGGGCCATCAGGAGCTCATCTAGCGGGTCGCCAGCCCCTTTCAAGCCTCTTGCCCCAATCATCATCAATTCAAGCCTCATTCCCACATCCAGTCCAGACTGAACAAATCACCCCCCCCCTTCACCCCTCACCCCCTCACCCCCTCACCCCCTCACCCCCTCACCCCCTCACCCCCTCACCCCTCACCTCAGGAAAGGGAAGGGCTTTCAGAAGCTCGTCTAGCAGGTCGCCCGTGCCGGTGCCTGAGAGGGCGGACACTGCCATGGGGGTCAGGCTGGGTTGGGGGGGGGAGTGGGGGGGTGGGGGGTGTAATGGAGGGTACGTGGGGAGACAAAGGGGGAGAAGATTGGGAAAGGGCCTTCGGAAGCTCGTCTAGCAGGTCGCCCGTGCCGGTGCCTGAGAGGGCTGACACTGCCATGGGGGTCAGGCTGAGAAAGCTCATAGGGAGAGACGAATGGGAGAGGGGAAGGCGGGGCGGGGGGAAGTTGTGTTGGAAGTGTCAAGCAGGTTGCATGTGCCGTGGGTCTGAGAGGGCTGACACCGCCATGGGGGTCAGCCTGAGATAGCGCATGGGGAGGAGAATGGGGAGCGGAGGAAAGTGGGGCAAGAGGGAGCTGTGAATGCCCGTGCCCGTGCCCGTGCCCATGCCCGTGCCCGTGCCCGTGCCTGTGCCCGTGCCCGTGCTGTGGGAGCTTTTAGCAGATCGCCTGCGCCCGTGCCATGGCCGACACTGCCATGGGGTTCAGGCTGATTTTTTAGGCGCCTAAAAAAAAACCATGGCCGACACCGACACTGCCATGGGGTTCAGGCTGATATGGGGTTGAGGGAGAGGAGGGAGGGTGGGGAAGGAGATAGGGAGCAGGGGTGGGTTTGAGAATTTGACGGTCGTTGCACGCCGTTCAATGCCGCCGCATGCTGTCTACTCACTCCCCCCTTGCTCCCAACTCACCACACCCATTCTAATCGTCCGCCTCCCCACACCTCCTCGACTCACCAGAGCCACTAGGATTCAGCGGTATGGATGGAGGAGCCCTTTGGTAAGACATTCGCACTTGCTGATCACCAGAAAGACGCAAGGCAGGCACACAGAGGCAGACACAAATCGCAAGTCGCACTAACCCTCGGGACTCGAACCCTGCAATCCGCACCGCAGCAGAAGGCTCTTGGTGGGAGACTCGCACTTGCTGACCGCCAGAAATATGAAAAGCAAGCCCCAGGCAGAGCACAGACAAGCAAGACAGTTCTCACCGTTCGCTCGCCCACCAGGCAGAGCACAGAAACAAGCACAAGCACACTTACCCTGGGGACCAGAACTCGGCTGTATGGAGGAGCCCCTTGGTGGGGTGGGGGTCCCGCACTTGCTGACTGGCAGGAAGACAGCAAGCCCCTCGCCCAAGTCAGAGTGGAGACACAGGGCTAACTGATGGCACACTCCAATCCCCAACTTACCCCAGCGACCAGAACTCGGCTGTTTGGAGGAGCCCCTTAGTGGGCGATTCGCACTTGTTGACTGCCAGAAAGACGGGCTTGCTGCTTGCCACGTGGCGGCGCCGCAGCCACTGAGCGATCTCCACGTCAGCAGCTGTTGCGCCAGCCTGGCAGAAGTTGGAAACGGGAGCAGAGAGGACAGGGAAGGAAGGGGGAGAGGAATGGAAGGGTGTGAGCGATGCAGAGAGTAGGGGGGGGTGAATGAGTCGTCTCCAGACTCCAGTGCTGCTGCTGAGCCCCAAAAGCTGTACAGGGAGAGGAATAGCGACGGCGGAGAAGGGGGTAGGAGTGATGCTCACAGTGCTGAACCCCAAAGAATCCATACGTCTAAAGTTATTTTTTAGAACTCTCAAAAACATCTAAAAGCCGCCGTCTCCGCCCCATCCACCACCATGAGTGCTAAGCTAACCTCTTGAGCCATGGGTGGTTAATTGAACCATATGCCCTGCCCCGCCTCACCAGCTTACTAACTCCTTATCCCAAACCTGTTGAACGGTGTTTTTGAGAATTCTCAAAAACACCCTGTAAAACAGATGCAACGCCTCACGTGCCCATCCACCACCATGATGATGGCATCTGCCTCCTCCTCCTCCACAGCTGCTATTTTCCCCATGACCACGAACCCAAAATACCATGGTACCTAGTTTTGAGGCGCCTCAAAACACGAACCCAGAATACCATGGTACCTCAAAGTCTCCTCCCACCCACCTGCCCATCCACCACCATGATGATCGCATCTGCCTCCTCCACGGCAGCAGCAGCCTGGCGGCCAATCAGCTCCGGCAGACCCGCCACCTCAGCCTCCTTCGCCGCCCGCTCGTTGGCCAATCGCCCGCCGCCACCTGTACACGCCACGGTTGGTGTAGGTGGGGAGGGGTCAATTCCCGAGCAAGGAGATTCAATCTTCATTAGAGCTAACGTGGATGGGCTGCTTTTGAGTCGACTCAAATGGAAGTCAACTCCCGAGACAGGAGATTCTTTTTCTTGAACTTGGGCAAGGAGCCGCATCCGCCCTACCCAGAGCCAGCAAGGCTGCTGAGGAAGCCGAGCCTCGCCCTGCGGCCTCCCCTCTACTACCGCCCTTCCTCCTTGCACCTCCAGTTAGGTTCACACTCACCAGTAACCGCAACGCCGTCCGCCATAGCCAGAGCCAGCAAGGCTGCTGAGGAAGCCGAGCCTCGCCCTGCGGCCTCCTCCCCTCTACTATCGCCCTTCCTCCTTGCACTTCCAGCTACATTCGTTCACACTCACCGATTACAGCAACACCGTCCGCCTTAGCCAGCGCCAGCAAGGCTGTTCCGGACGCCGAGCCTCGCCCTGCCCTCCCCCCTCTACCGCCCTTCCTCCTTGCAGCACCTGCACCATCAGCACCGTCAGTAGCAGCACCAGCAGCACCAGCAGCACCAGCAGCAGAAGCAGCAGCAGCATTAGGGGCGTCCATGAGGCCGCCCGTGTCAGTGAGCAGGAACTGCCTGTCCTCCCAAAGGGCACGCGCGTACAGCCGGTCCCTCGTCACCCCGGGCTCGTCGTGCACTATGGCGATGTTGCGCTGCCGGGGCCGAAGGGGGTGGATGGGTGGATGGGAGGATGGGAGGAGAGTTGATAACTCATTGGTAAGTCAACAGACGGTCCCTCCCTGGTCACTCCGGGCTCATCATGCCCTGTGGCGAAGTTTATTTTTGAGGCGCCTCAAAAATAGACTCATCATGCACTGTGGCGAAGTTTCGCTGCCCGGGTGGGGAGAGGGGGGATGGGGGATGGGATGGGTAGAGGGGAGGAGTGTTAAAACTCAATACTAAGTCAATAGTCATCTTGGTCACTCCGGGCTCGTCATGCACTATGGCGACTTGCGCTGGGAGGGAGAGGGATGGGAGGAGAGCTAAGAACTCAACATTTAGTCAACAATCGGCCTGGTTACCCCGGGCTCGTCGTGCCATAGCACTATGGCGATGTTGCACGGTTAGAGTCCTGGGAATGAATGAAATGCATGCCCTAGCCTAGCTTCAAGCAAGCAAGTGCCTACTTTTGAGGCGCCTAAAGAATATGGCGATGTTGCGCAGTTAGATTCCTGGGAAAGAAAAACATGCCCTAGCCTCAAGCAAGCAAGAGCTGCAATCACTCACTCACCCCCACTAGTCGGTTGAAGAGAGCTGACTTGCCCACGTTGGGACGACCCACGATGGCCACTCGAGGCAGCAGATGCTCCGGTACCTGCCATGACACACATGTGGTGGCATGCCAATGTCAGAGGAAAGAGGAGGATCTTGTGTTTTCGCATGAATGAAGTCATAATGCTGCCCATTCCGCCATGCCATGCCATGTACCCCATGTTGCGTCGATTCAAGATGGCCAGATAAGAAAATTAACATTCTGATTTATTCAGATGTTTAAGCAAGGGCGCCCACTTGAGGCAGCAGATGCTCCGGTACCTGCCATGACACCTATTGTGACATGCCAGGCCATCATGTTTTTTACAATTCTCGAAAGCACTCTGCAAAATCAAGGGCGCCCACTCGAGCAGCTCCAGTACCTGCCATGACACATGTGGTGACATGCCAGGACCATCATGTTAACGGACGGCCTGTGCCATGGAAAACCATGCCATGGCACATGCCATCATGCCATCATGCCATGATGCATCCAGTGGCAACATCTGTGCTATGCACACCGCACCACGCCCTACACCACACCACACCCTGCATGTGCCTCATGCTACGCCTCCAATCCAAACTCCCTGCACCAACTTTCTCCCTCTCGTCCGTATCCTCATTTCGCTCTCCTTCTCCCATCATCCATTCAAGTCAGAACCCCCACGCAGTAATACCCAGGTGAGCTCTAAGGAGAAAAAACCCGCGACTCTTGCCAGACTGCTGCTCTGAGCTGAGCCCACCTTGTCTACCACGTTCCACTGCATTTTCAAGCCCTTCCGCCTGCCCTTCTCCTGCTAGACACCTGATAAACCCTGGGCTTGATAAACCCTGGACCTGATAAAACCTAGACTCATGCCTCGTCTACTACATCTCGCTGCCGTCGTCGGCTGTTCAGCCTGCTCTCCACCGCCTCTTGATTAGTCTATTTTTGAGGCGCCTCAAAAATAGACCCTCATTATGAACCCCAGACCTGGGCTGTATAGACTCCATAGCAGATAAACCCCGACAAGACAAACCCCAACTTGATAAACCCCGACTCGATAAACACTCGAGTCTTGCCAGTCTAGACTAGCGCTCGCACCTCACCTCTTCCACTATGTCCCATCTTTGTCGCATTCCCTTGCGCCGGCTCTCGTCCCTCTCCTGCTTCTCTATCGCCTCCACCACCACCGTACAACCCTATAAACCCTCTACTCTTACCAGCCAAGCTCACTCGTCTCCACCAGCACCGTACAACCCTCATAAACCCTCCACTCGATAAACCCTAGAATGTTCCTAGCTCACCTCTTCCCTTGCGCCGGCTCTCGCCCTTCTCCTGCTTCTCTATCGCCTCCACCACCACCACCCTTCAACCCTCGTAAACCCTGAACTCGATAAACCCTCGATTCTTGCCAGACTAAGGTTCTGAGCTCACCTCTTCCACTACATCCCGTCGCCGGCGCCATCCCTTGCGCCGGCTCTCGTCCTTCTCCTGCTTCTCTATCGCCTCCACCACCACCGCCATGGCTGCTCTCTCCCAATCCGCTGCTGCCATCTGTACAACGTCATCATCACCATCGTCCTCCCCCCCCTCCTCCTCCTCTAGCTCTCCTCCCTCCAAATCCACTTCTTCCCCTTCTTCTAATTCGTCAATCTCATCCTCCCACTCCCCCCCCTCCTCTTCCTCCTCCCACTCCCCCCCCTCTTCCTCCTCTTCTTCCTCCTCTATTTTCTGCACTGATGGCCCTCGCTTCCCCTTCTCCCCTTCCTCGGAAAACCCCTTGGTCGCGCGGAGGCTTGCTCCGCGAAATGCGGACGGCTGCTTAAACGAGTCATCGGATTGAGATAAGGAGAGCAGAAACGACGACTGTCGCCGCCGCGGGAGCAGTTCTGTTGGCCGGGAGGGAGGGGCGAAGGAGGGAGAGAGAAAAAACGGCAGAAAGAAGGTTTAGGTGAGGTTATCCTGAAACCTCCAGAAAATCTTCTCAGGTGCATCGGACTTTCCGCGGAAGGGGAGACATGCTGTGTCAGATGATTGGAGAGCTCAGGGCTTTTCATGAGGAAGGAGCGCGAATGACAATACCAGAATGTAGCTTCGTAACGCGAGAGCAAGCCAGGGAACTGCAGACAGCTAGGTGCGACGATGCAGCCATGGCTCTCGTTAGATGCCAACTAGAATGAAGAGGATACGAAGCTATGGAGCCATATCTGATCTGAAGCTATCAGGCAGCAATATCTGGGTTCAGGTTGAAACTTCAGGCTTGGGAGGGAGGGTCCAGCAGGAGAATTGGCTTTCTGAAAACAGTATAACATAATAAAAGTCGTCTGCTGAGTAGAAAGAATGGGCTCTGCGAAAACCTATACTCGAAGCGGAACTGTTCTCTTATAGCGGATATAGCTCCAGCCTCGCCAGCGACCGTTGGCTGAAAAGCCAATAGTGAGTAGGAACTGTACCCTTTTCCAGAAATTTCATTGCCCTCCTCAGATCTTGTTCAAACGTGGCCAATCAGAGTGCAACGATGTTTCTTCCCCACATCCAGGCCAGTAGGAAGCTTGGGAACACCGAACCATCCCAAGCGAACTTGGTTCTGGACCAGTCAGATAAGACCTGTTCACTGAATTTCTTTTAGGTAACCTAAAAGCGTACCTGAAGTCAAAAGTTTAGGCATGGTACGTCCCATGACGTCATTCTCCACACCAGCAAACTCCGTTCATGGCGCAAGTAATTAACGAGGTGACGTAATCAGGCAATCAAATTTGAACAAGTTACGAAACTATAATCGGGTAACTGATTCTCCGTTGGCATGTAGTGTATGATGAAAAAAAATACATGAGCTAGGCTAACCACCCCAGTCCCTGCTTGTGAAGTGAGTGGGATTTCGCTAACCGTCAGATTCCTTCGACCTGATCGCCTGTTCCAGTAGAGGCGAAGCTTTACGTCCTTCCTTAGGCAGCACCTCCGTGCATCACGCTGCATAGTCGTTCCTCCTCTCAATCTTAAAAAGGAGATCCATTTCGTCATAAAGCCAGCGAATTGGGAAGTGCGTTATCGGCAGTTGTGATCGGTAGCCCGAAAATGGCTTCCAGCGTGCGAATTTCGTTACTAATCGTCGTCCTTGTCAGCGTAACGGGGGTTTTCGCCCAGCGTCAAGCCTCTCCGTGGCGTCCCCCCTCAAGGTGCTTTCGCTACTCCAGTGCGATGATCGCACGTTACGAAAACATTTTAAGAGATATGATCGTGCCTGGTGAAGATTCGTGCTCTATAGAACGGTTCCCCCTACTAGGCTAGTAGGCTTAGAGGCTCTCTGTCCTAGGCACCAAGTGCTACAAGCAGTCAGCGTTCGCGAACCTACACCGCCAATAGTGGTTCGGCAGCTGACGCGTTTGTCCTAGCTGTCTTCGCATGTTTTCTCGCGAATCGGGGGGCTTCTGGTGATTAGCCAGCTGGACGGGTTTGTGCCAGCTGTGTTCGGCGAATTTTCGTTGACCTAGTCTTCTCGAATTGTCTGGTCAGGCTGCTTATATTCCCTGGTCTTATATTCCCTTTTCCTTTGCTCTGTCCGTGTTCGGGTCTACGTGTGTGTGCGGGCGCTCTGTGCATGCGTGTGTGTACGAGCGTGTATATGCGTGTGTGTACGTGCGTTTGTGCTTGGGGCACGTGTAAGAGGAGGGGTGGGAAAACGTTTGTCTGTGTGGGGTTTGGGGGGAAGAGTGGGTGCGAGGTTGGGTGGGTCTGTGTGGCTGAGAGGAGGAATGGTGGGTGGGTGGGTGCCTGTGGGGAGTGAGGGACAGCAGATAAGGCACTGTTCTCTGGCGACGTGATTTCGTGCCGGGATGGTTCCAGGAAGGTTCACATTTCGCGAGTCAACGACGACTTCTGTGACTGCCCTGACGGCACGGACGAGCCAGGCACTTCGGCGTGCCCCAACGCCTCCTTCTTCTGTCGCAACCGAGGGCACAATCCCCTCCGCATCTTCTCGTCACGCGTAAATGACGGCATCTGCGGTAGGTTGGGGTGAAAGCTAAGCCAGCAGCTACACGTGTCTTTTGGAGGTATTTCTGTCTTGTGTGCATTTTTTAGGCGCCTCCCTGCACGTATCCCTGCCCCCCTCTTCCTCTCCTCAGATTGCTATGATGGCAGTCACGAGGCGAGTACGATGGTAGGGTTCCCTGCACCAACACATGTGCCTCGGGAGTCAGGCAGGGCAACCCACTGAACTCGCCTTTCCCCCCTTCTGCCGCAATGCGTGTGCTGAGTCCGGGGCGGCTTGCTTGTGTTTCCTTCCCCCTCTGCCCCTGTTCCTTACCCCTCTGCCCCTGTTCCTTCCCCCTCTGCCCCTGTTCCTTACCCCTCTGCCCCTGTTCCTTCCCCCTCTGCCCCTGTTCCTTCCCCCTCTGCCCCTGTTCCTTCCTCAGAGGTGACTTTTGAGTCGACTCAAAATGAGGCAACTTTTGAGTCGACTCAAAATGAGGTGACTTTTGAGTCGACTCAAAATGAGGTGACTTTTGAGTCGACTCAAAATGAGGTGACTTTTGAGTCGATTCAAAAGTCATTCCCTCCCTCTGCCCCTGTTCCTTGCTCAGACTGCTGCGACGGTAGTGACGAATATGATGGAAGCATGGTCTGCCCCAACACATGTGCGCAGGCCGGGGCGGCTTACTTGTGTTTCCTTCACCCTCTACCTGCCTCCTTTACTTGTGCTTCCTTCTCCCTCTGCCTGCCTCCTTTATTTACTTGTGCTTCCTTCCTCAGACTGCTGTGATGTCAGTGACGAGTACGATGGAAGCGTAGTCTGCCCCAACACGTGTGCGCAGGCCGGGGTCGCTGATATGTCAATTCTTTCTCCTCTCTCCCTCCCCCCCCCGCTTCTCCTTTTCCGTCTCCTTTTCCCGCCTTCTCAGATTGCTGCGATGGTAGTGACGAGTACGATGGAAGCGTTGTTTGCCCCAACACGTGTGCGCAGGCCGGGGCGGCGAGGCGGCAACAGCTGGCAGCTGACGTGGCGAAGTACAAGGAGGGGGGTGAGGCAGAGGCAGAGGGCGATCGAGGAGTGGCGAGAGAAGAAGGGGCGGATGCAGGAGGAGAGGGGGCGGCTGGAGGAGGAAGAGAGGCAGCTGCAGGAGAAGGAGAAGGCGCTCAAAGGTATGTGTGAGTGTGTGCTTTTGAGTGTGTGCTTGTGTGGGTTTTTGAACGATGTAAGGAACTGTTTTTGGGGAAGAGAAGAGAAGAGGCAAGTGCAGGAGGAGGAGAGGGTTCTCCAAGGTATGTTTGGGGTCAAAGCAGAGGCTGAGGGCGATAGAGAAGTGGCGAGAGAAGAAGGGGCGGATGCAGGAGGAGAGGGGGCGATTGGAGGAGGAAGAGAGGCAGCTGCAGGAGAAGGAGAAGGTGCTCAAAGGTGTGTTTTGGAGAGCGTATGTTTGTGTGTGTGGCGTTTGATTCGGATTCAAATGTCCAATTGAAGAGAAGAGGCGGCTGCAGGAGAAGGAGAAGGCCCTCAAAGGTATGTGGTGGGCGACTCTGTATGTGTGTGTCTGTGTGTGTGCCTCTGTGTGTGTGTGTGTGTCTGTGTGTGTGCCTCTGTGTGTGTCTGTGTGTACCTGTGTGTGTGTGTCTGTGTGTGCCTCTCTGTGTGTTTGTCTGTGTGTGCCTCTGTGTGTATGTCTGTGTGTGCCTCTGTGTGTGTGTCTGTGTGTGCCTCGGTGTGTGTGTCTGTGTGTGCCTCTGTGTGTGTGTCTGTGTGTGCCTCTGCGTGTGTGTCTGTGTGTGCCTCTGTGTGTGTGTCTGTGTGTGCCTCTGTGTGTGTGTCCGTGTGTCTCTCTGTGTGTGTGTCTGTGTGTGCCTCTGTGTGTGCCTCTGTGTGTGCCTCTGTGTGTGTGTCTGTGCGTGCCTCTGTGTGTGTGTCTGTGTGTGCCTCTGTGTGTGTGTCTGTGTGTGCCTCTGTGTGTGTGTCTGTGTGTGCCTCTGTGGTGTGCCTCTGTGTGTGCCTCTGTGTATGGGCCTCTGTGTGACTTGTGTGCGGCTTTTGATTCGATGCGAATGTCCTCTGGAAGAAAAGAATCAAGAGCAGGTAAAAATAAGGTGCTCTAAGGTAAGTTTTGCAGGGGGGGGGGGGGGGGGGGGGGTAGTGAGTGCTCACACTCCTGTTGTCCGGATCCTTCTTCCTCTTTTGATTCACCTCGAAAATCGACTCTAACGTTTGTGCGCCCTCCTCCAGACCACCCCCCCCTCCCTCTCTTCCCTCCTTGCAAACAGAGGGGAAGGAAGCATTGGAGAAGATAGAGGAGGAAGAGAAGGAGAAGCAGAGGGAGATAGAGGAGGAAGAGGCAGCATTGTTATACAATCACTTATCCCTTCCCCTCCTCCCTCGTTGCAAACAGAGAGGAAGGAAGCATTGGAGAAGATAGAGGAGGAAGAGGAAGCAATCTTGTACATTCACTTATCCTCCCTCCCTCCTCCCCCCCTTCCCCCATCGTGAGCAGAGAGGAAGGAGGCTCTGGAGAAGATAGAGTAGGAGGAGAAGGAGAAGCAGAGGAAGATAGAGGAAGAGGAAGCAATCTTGTACATTCACTATCCTCCCTCTTCCCCCCCCCTTCCCCCCCTTCCCCCATCGTGGAGCAGAGAGGAAGGAGGCTCTGGAGAAGATAGAGGAGGAGGAGAAGGAGAAGCAGAGGAAGATAGAGGAGGAAGAGGCGGCTAGAAGGAAGGCAGAGGAGGAGAAGCTGCAGCCACCACCTGCCGAACCTACCGAACCTGCCACCGAACCTGCTGCCACTGAAGCTGCTTCTTACCGAACCTGATGCTGTCGAGCCTGACACTGCCGAGCCTGCAGCAAACTGAGCCTGCTGCGGCCGAGCCTGAGTCTGCGTCTGCCACAGGGAAGGCAGTGTTGGGGGAGCCGCTTAGTGCTTCTGATGCTGCTGCTGATGCCGCTGCCAATGCTGCTGCCGATGCTGCTACTGATGCTGCTGCCTGATGCTGGTGCTGTTTTCGATGCGGACTACTGCTGCCTGATGACAACGACGATGAGAACGACGAGGACCTATCGGGACTATCGAAGGAGGAGCTGGGGAGGCGGATTGCCTCCCGATGGGCGCATGGGGAGGACGGACCCGGGGGGGCGGAGGTTGGGGGGAGGAGGGGAAGGGGGGAGGGGGGGTGGGGAAGGGGAGGGAGAAGGGAGTGATGGGGCTGACTTGGGAGGGGATGATGGGTTGGCGTATGATGATGGGGACGATGACAAGGACTATGACGACGTGGAGCATGATAATCATGACGATCATGAGGTTGACCATGATGATAATGGTGATGATGGTGGTGATGGGCATGATGCCGTCGATGATGATGCGCTGGAGGACAACGAGGACTTTCCCTCCCATGACCGAGCAGGAGGACGATCCTTGGCGCGATGCATCAGGTACTAATGTGCTTGCACTGCATAGAGCACACATCACACAGCAGCACAAGCACACGGTACACGGCAGCACACCGCAGCACACAGCAGCACACGGCACATAGAAGCACACGACGCATGTCCATGTTGCCTCCTCAACGGCTTATCGTCTCGCTTTGCCCCCCTGGTGAGGATAACGAGGACTTTCCCTCTTCTGACGAGCGGGACGATGATCCTTGGCGCCATGCATCAGGTACTTTTGACTAGGTGCTACTAGCGCTGCTGGAGCATTCCAATGTAGATGATGGGCATGATACCGTTGATGATGATGATGATGCGCTGGAGGATAACGAGGAGGACGGTCCTTGGCGACTAGGACCGTCCTCCTCTCATGACGACTAGGAGGACGGTCCTTGGCGCGACACATCAGCTACTAAAGCGCCTTGCAGCAGCACAGCAGCACAAGGCGCACAGCACAGAGCGCAGAGCACACACCAGCGTGACGCATCAGGTACTTAAGCGCTCGGGACTTGCACTGCACGCAGCACAGACCTCACAGCACACATCGTTGTGGGACGAGGCACAGAAGATGTGGTCCCGTGTCTCCTCCCTAGTCTCCCATTTACTCCCCCCCCCAACCCAACCCCACGCCCCTCTGCCTCCTCGCTCCCGTCCCTGTGGGACAAGGCATGGCAGATGTGGTCTCGAGTCTCCTCCCTCGTCCCGTATTCCCTCCCTCCTCCTCTTCTCTCCCCTTCCCCCACCCCTCCCTCCCCCCCCCCAGCGCCCTCTGCCTCCTCGCCCCCATCTTCGTGGGACAAGGCGAAGCAGGTGTGGTCTCAAGTCTCCCTCTTGTCTCTACCTCCCCCTTCCCCCCCCCCCCCGCTTTCTCCCCCATTCACTCCCTCCCCGTCCCTCCTCCGCCTCCCCCAACCAGCGCCCTCTGCCTCCTCGCCCCCATCCTTCTGGGGCAAGGCGAAGCAAGTGTGGTCTCGAGTCTCCTCCCTCGTCTCGCAGTTACTCCCATTCTCTGCCTCTCCCTCCTCTCCCCACCCCACCCTCGTGCTCCCCCCTGTCAGTCAGCACCTGCTGCCTCCTCGCCCCCATCCTTCTGGGGCAAGGCGAAGCAAGTGTGGTCTCGAGTCTCCTCCCTCGTCTCGCAGTTACTCCCATTCTCTGCCTCCCCTCCTCTCCCCACCCCACCCTCGTGCTCCCCCCTGTCAGTCAGCACCTGCTGCCTCCTCGCCCCCATCCTTCTGGGGCAAGGCGAAGCAAGTGTGGTCTCGAGTCTCCTCCCTCGTCTCGCAGTTACTCCCATTCTCTGCCTCTCCCTCCTCTCCCCACCCCACCCTCGTGCTCCCCCCTGTCAGTCAGCACCTGCTGCCTCCTCGCCCCCATCCTTCTGGGGCAAGGCGAAGCAAGTGTGGTCTCGAGTCTCCTCCCTCGTCTCGCAGTTACTCCCATTCTCTGCCTCTCCCTCCTCTCCCCACCCCACCCTCGTGCTCCCCCCTGTCAGCACCTGCTGCCTCCTCGCCCCCAACCTTCTGGGAAAAGGCAAGCAGGTGTGGTCCCGTGTCTCCTCCCTCGTCTCCCATTTCCTCCTTCCCTCTCCTCTCCCCTTCCCCCACCCACCCCCCTCCCCCCCCCCAGCGCCCTCTGCCTCCTCGCCCCCATCTTCGTGGGACAAGGCGAAGCAGGTGTGGTCTCAAGTCTCCCTCTTGTCTCTACCTCCCCTTCCCCCCCCCCCCCCCTTTCTCCCCCATTCACTCCCTCCCTCCCCTCCCTCCTCCTCCCCCCCCAGCGCCCTCTGCCTCCTCGCCCCCATCCTTCTGGGACAAGGCGAAGCAGGTGTGGTCGCGAGTCTCCTCCCTCGTCTCCACCAAACCAGCACTGTCGATCAATGAAACGGGTAAGACGGTCAATGGGTGTGACACGTCTACTAGCTAGGAGTGTGACGTGGCCTACTGGATAACAAACACTCGTTTGATGAGGCTTCGTGTCTCCTCTCTTGTCCCCCTTGGCTCTCCTTGTGTTTCCTGTGCTTTCTTGGCCAGATCAGAACTCTTCACAAGGCTCCATATTGACACAAGAAAAGCCGCTCTTTCACTCACCTTTTATCCCAATCTCCCTCTAGACCTCCCTACCGTGTGCTCTGGAGTACCTGACCTACCAAGTCCCGTCCCTACCATGCGTACAGAGTACCACATGGTATCAACACAGCTCAGCAAGATGACGGGGCGGCTTAAACCCCAACCCCTCCCTTCCCTAACCCTTTCCTTCCCTTGGTTCTTTTCTCCCTTCGCTGCAGACCTGCTTGCAGTGCGTTCAGAGTACAACAGGGTGTCATCGCAGCTCAGCAAGCCGGGGGCAGGCTTAAACCCCAAACCCTCCCTCCCTCTTTCTCCCCGCCAACCCCCCGCCAGACCTCCTTGCAGTGCGTTGGGAGTACAACAGGGTGTCATCGCAGGTCAGCAAGGCGAGGGGGCTCCTTCCAGCCCTTCCTGTTCGCCCGCAAGGCTGTGTCTTCATCCCTCTCGCTCCCTCTTTCCTCTGCATCTTCAACTTCAACCACCACCCTTTCCTCACAGACCCCCTCACAGTGCGTTCAGAGTACAACAGGGTGTCACCGCAGCTCAGAAAGACGGGAGGACTCCTCCCAGCCCTTCCTTGCTGTGTCTTCATCCCTCTCGCTCCCTATTTCCTCTGCATCTTCAACCCATCACCATTCCTCACAGACCTCCTCGCAGTGCGTTCAGAGTACAACAGGGTGTCATCGCAGGTCAGCAAGACGGGGGCCGGCTTCAACCCCAACTTCTCCCTCCCTCTTTCTCCCCAAACCCCCCCCCCTCCAGACCTGCTTGCAGTGCGTTCAGAGTACAACAGGGTGTCATCGCAGCTCAGCAAGACGAGTGGGCGGCTTCGCACAGTCAAGGACAAGCTCGAGAAGGATCTGGGTGGGTGGAAGCCTGGGTCTTACACCGAGGTTTAGCTGGTTTAGGGGGGTGTTTAATGAAATCGGTTACACAGACGAGGGGCCGCCTTTGCACAGTCAAGGACAAGCTCGAAAAGGATCTGGGTGAGTGGAAGCCTGGGTCTTACACGGAGGCAAACCCTGGGTGTTTTACTA